ACTCTTTCTGCTTTTTTTCCCTTGTCAAATATATGGGTCAAGTATTTCAGCAAGGGAACAAAAATGTCTAGACTGTGTCACATTGTGGAGGAAGTCAAATGCAAGACCCATGAGAGGAAGTATCCAACTTGAGGCTTGCTTGTGCTGTAGAAACATGCATGAGGATGATGATGGATATTCCTATTAAAGTACAAATCAAGTTAAGCAGTTCCATCCTGAAGCAGACCTTTCAATTCATGTTAGAGGAACTTCAGCATTTCTCTTATGCAGGCACAAGTAAGGCATTTGGTGAGGCATTGGAACAGGCTGCCCAGGAGGGTGGTGAAGGCACCATCCCTGGTGGTGTTAAAAAAAGGGGGAGACATGGTGTTTCATAAGATGGTTTAGTGGTTGGGGCTTGTAGGGTGGATGGTTGGACTTGATGATCTTGAAGGTCTTTTCCAACCTTGATGAAGGGGAATCCACCCTTAGCAACTGGAAGGAAAAGAAGTCTTCTAAAAAAGTAAATAGCGTTAGCGTCAACATCAGAGTGAGAAGCTGCTGACTTTAGCCAATATATGTGGCACAAAGAATAGTTGCTCTGTAGATTGCTGCTGATTGGTAAAAGCTTTTTGAATTGCCTCAATTGTCTGCCCCTCTTGGAGGGCTCTAGTGGAGTCTGGAAGGAACATTTTGCCAGTGATTCATCTGAGGCATTGTTCAGTTGTTGTAACTCAGTGCTGTGCTGGTTCCATCTGGTTCTTCCCAAGGGAACTGGAGTACTGCACTCTGCTTAGGTGTGTGGGTGGGCTGGGATTTGCAGGCATTCTGTTCTGCTGCAGTTCCTATGTACATCTATGGGTCTGCAGGGATTTTCCTGAAGGAGCAAGTCCGCATGACTGTGCTGCACCAGGCAGGACTGCAGAGCATCCTGTGTGCTTGTATACAAGCTTGAAACGTTGCTGTTGCAGCTGTAGAGGAGAGAATGAAAATGAAAAGATCTAATCCAATTAGAAGGAATTAGTTGTGGGTTTGTTGTGTAAGGCCATTACGAGGCAGGGTGGTTTCAATAGTTCTGCTGAAGACAATGTGCTCTCCTCTGTAGCCCAGGAGCAGCAGGGCAGAAACTCCAGGAGGCTGAAAGGTGGGGGAGTCATGTTGGCTTGTAGAATTTGATTTTTTTAATTTATTATTATTTTTTTTGCATCAAAACCTAAGGTGAGACCTTAGGGCAAATGACAGGATTTCCCTGGTGACACCTGCCTGGTGATCCCTGGGCAGCCTCTGCTAACTGCAATTGCTGCTGCCTTCCCTCCCAGCCCAGGGTGCCCACATCCTTCTGTTGAAGAAAGGCTTTGAAAAAGGGGAGATTTGTTGAGCCAGTTGTTCTCTCTCCCAAGTGAACTTCAGAGCTTGACTTAGGATGCACATGGTTTAAAGGGAAAGGGGGGGTTGTCAAGGAGTCCAGAGTCTGCGTCAACTACAATGGGCTGACCTTCACCTGGCTGATTTTCAGAAAAAGTGAAAAATACCTCTGCTCTTTTGATTTAGGGGAAATGTTTCTTCACCCAGTAGTTTGTTAAATGATTGTGTCAAGCAATCAAGAATGAGGAGAGTCATTGTCATTCACACTCCTTCAGGCTGGGGTCTTCATGCTGATGCTTATCCCCAGGGAGCTGCTGGTCCCTTGCACCTAGCCATCCTGGCCTGGAAGGAGGAATTGTATTTATGTCTTTAAAAAATAAGACAAAACAGGTCTACTTGAAGTTCTGTGTGGAGCTGAATTTTTCTGAACACTCCATTGTTGTCATGTTAATGGTCTTCATTTTATCAGGAAATGGTACAATTGTGTTCAATTACACTGAGTGACTTTATGGACCAGCTTAGGTGCTTAGCTTAAGAGCCTAAACCTGCTTTGCTATCTAGACAGCTGATAGAAGGTGTCTTCTGCCAAGAGCAGTTGACAGCAGGTCCCTGGTGTAGGTGGCCCTACCTTTCTTAGGAGCTTAATGCTTCTGTCAGGGGCTGGGTGGGAGCCTAAGGAAACACCCAAATTGACCATTTGAAGTTGGGTGCTGCAAAAATCCACTGCCAGCACCATTCACTTCTTGGATCAAGCCACTTCCCCCAAAACATTCTCATCTCCTCCCCTTGAACACAACAGTTTACAGCACAAAGTCCACGATGTTCCATTGCAACAGGATGAGGTGAGTGCCAGGAGGGAAGCTCTTTTTGGCAAGCCCACCCTGACATCTCCTCTTTCTCCCCACCAACACACGGTGAGCTGGTTGTTCAGTGGCTGGCAGGGCACAGGTGGACAGAGAGAGACTTGAGAAATTGGCTCAAACAGTCTGGATCATGTCATGCAACACCAGAAGCACCCCATGGCTGAGCCATCCAAGCATGGGCCTTTACCAGAGCTGACCTGAATTCTTCTCTAAAATGGCGTGAAACCCAAAGAGGATGTTTTGTCAGCAGCAGAATTCCATTAATCTTTTTGTAATACTATTTTTTTCTAAGAAAACAGAAATGACATAATTTTACTTTTCTTTTCAGAGCGATTCCTGCAGGAAATCTTCCAAATCCAAGCGAGACAAGGAAAAACAGGCTTGCAAGAGCTGCAGTGAGAGCTTCAACTCGATCACGAAGAGGCGGCACCACTGCAAGCAGTGTGGGGCAGTAAGTACCAGTGCACTGAGCCTTTTAGGTTCTTTTACAGAGACTGTTGGAAGATCATTTTTTTTTATTTTTCCAGTGCAGAAACTAAAAGATGATGTGATTCATGGCAGGTCGGTGACAGACAGATCTTTCCACTTTCTTTATCCCTTGGGAATAAGGGGAGAAAGAGTAAAATTCTGGTGCATGGGGCCTAGTCTGTGCTATTTTAAAAGCAGATGCAGCTCCTTAGTGGATAAAAAGAAAGGTGATGCCTTCTCTGGGGAGAGGGTTGTCCCTTCTGTTTTGTTTGCATAAACAGAATGGCCTTCTGGCAGCCTTACTTCACTCAGAGCTCTTTCTGTGATGAACAGTTGAGCATGCAATATTAAAGATGATGGGTTTTTCTTTCC